GAAGAAGCAGGTGGTGTGCAAAATGATGACCAAAAAGATGCAGAGATGGAGGAACTTGAGAAAGAATATATGCATCTTCGTCACCAGGAGCAGTAAGAAATTGTTAAATTCTTTCCATTGCTTCCTTTTACCCTTCATAAATCACTGCTTGTTAGAGAAAATTATGAATGAATGCGTAATTGTTGCCCTTCTAATTTCTCTTTCAGACTTCAAAATTGCATAGATATTGATTTTTTAAAGCCCACAGTTCAACGTTCTTCTGTAAATAATCTTTTTCATCAGAATTAATTATAGCAGAAACTATTAGTTAAAGATTTTCCTGTGTTCATTGTAAAGTTCTAGTCTCCTTTATTCTTAGGATCTTCCGGCATGTTTGAGAGTGACCAAAATTACTTTTGTTGGTTATTTTGAGCATGACCAAAATATGCCATTACTTCAAGTAATGTTTGTTTTTTGCATTCTCAATTTTTGATGTGTAGTTCTATTGAATTTTATCATCGTTTTCATTTTTGGTGCGCTCCAATTATTGTTTGAATCAGAGACATTTTGAAGAATTTGAAGCAACACAAGGATGAAGATCTTCTTAAAGGCCAAGCAGTGAAGAATCAAAGGGTATATCACTTTTTCTATGCTTCGATTCATGTTTTACTGAAAGGTTTGATTTTATGTGCAACGGAATAGAATTAGCGAAGTTCTATTGTATTTTACAGTTTGGTGGACTATCTAATGTTCTCACAATATTTCCTTTCTGGTTTTAGGCTTTATGGGACAAAAGTCTTGAGGTTAGATTTTTGCTTCAAAAGGCATTCTCCAACTCAAATAGATTGCCAAAGGTAGCTAACTATCATTCTTTACATCTAGTTTCTATTATATTTTCAAGTGAAAGTTTTGTTCAAAATAGTTTATGATTGTGCAGGAGCCAGTTAAGTCTTCATTTTGTAAATTAGATAAGGATGTTGAGGTGGCATATTCAGATTTGATCACGTCGTCAAAGAATACTTTAAATTCTTTATTGGAACTACAAGAGGTATAATTTTTCATATTACATTGTACCTTCTATCTATGATGCTCATGGCCTGTATCTCTTATTTTAACTCTGTGGTTCTCTTTTACGACAGGCTTTACTTGAAAATAATAAGCATATCGCCCAAGCTACCGATGGTATGGAAACTTTCATCTCTTTATCTTGTATACTACATAAATTTTATCATGCATAGCCTGCTGAGATGGAGAAGTGGGCATTAACTTTGATGGGATTGTTGGGTTCACTTACTGTGTATCCGTTCATAAATAGGAGCTCAGATTATAATTATGGCAGTGGCTTGTTAGGTCAATTATACACAGTTAATCTATTCTTGGAAGTTATGCTGGGCATTATTATTATACTTTTATGGTTTGTTACTGCTAGTGCCACCATTTGTTTCCAGAAATCTTTACATCTTGAAATTATTTAAGACAACCGTGCTTCTTATGGACCTGTGAGATACCTCCAGAGCTTTTTCTTTTTGCACTCGTGATAACAAAAGCATTTGTTGCATGCGTGACCCATTAATAGTGGCGCATGAGTTAACATTGACTGAGCTTTTCTTTGTTTTCTCTGGCCACTTCAATCCTCCTTCTATAGGCCATCCTGGAGTATCAGCTAACCGTTTGGAGTCTTCCAAAACCGTAGATGCTCAAAATGATAATGATGAAGATTGGTCCCAAGTTGCTCAGATGCATCAAAGGTGCTCCTCTTTCTCTGAACAAAGCACCATTATGCTTGACTTATATTCACCTTTTCTGAAAATTAGTATAGTTACATATTTTTTTAGCCAGTATAGATTAATCAAACAATTTTGCTGAAGGATTAGGATGTGCGGTGGTCTAAGACAAGTGTGCACAAATAGGGCATTATATGTTGATATATGCTTTTATATGGCAGAGAAGCAACCTCTGTATTTTTTGTCTTTGCTGTTGCAGACTTGATGTTATATTTGACGACTTAAGCAAAATGCTTTTGTTCTTCTTTGTTCAATTTCCTCACTGAAGCATGCTGTCTCTCTTCCCAACAATGTAGAGGAACATTGAAATAAGACTGAAGTAAAGATGAAAATATGAATAGTTAGACTTCCAAAGATGGGAGTAAGGGAGACGGGAATGTATTTAGTGATGAATGATTTAATTTATCAGGTCTTTGCTATTTGATTTTGTAGTTCTTCTTTTAAACGAGAATATTAAATGAAAACAAACTGCTTTCGAATGGGCTCTTCATCATGAGCCATTTGTTTTATTCTTTCGTTCTTATGTGTCTGTGTCAATGTGAGATCCCACGTCAGTTGGAGAGAGGAACAAGCATTCCTTTAGGGTGTGGAAACCTCTCCCTAGTAGACACGTTTTAAAACCGTGAGACTGACGGCGATACGTAATAGGCCAAAGCGGACAATATCTACTAGCGGTGGGCTTGAGCTGTTACAAATGGTATCAAAGCCAGACACCGAGCGGTATGTGAGCGAGAACGTTAGCCCCCAAGGGGGGTGGGTTGTTACAAATAGTATCAGAGCCAGACACCGAGCGGTGTGCCAGCGAGGATGCTAGGCCTCCAAGGGGGTGGATTGTGAGATCCTACATCGGTTGGAGAGGAGAACAAGCATTCCTTATACGGGTGTGGAAACGTCTCCCTAGTAGATGCATTTTAAAACTGTGAGCCTGATGACGATTCATAGTGGGCCAAAGCAGACAATAACTACTAGCGTTGGGCCTGAACTATTACATTTAACCCACTGAAGTAGCTTCACGTTTTCAAGTGTTTCTATCTCTGAAATTATTTGACTGGTTGCCTTCAACTCTCTTCATGACTGTGTATGAAGATTTTAAATGATGGTTATAAATGAATATTACCTGAGGATTTATGTAGCTTCTAAGGAATGGATGTTGAGAAAGACATACACGTTGGTAATATTGCAGGATAGGAGCTTTCAGAGACAAGTCAATTGACAAATGGCATAGGAAGACACAAGTTACAACAGGTGCTGCAGCTATTAAAGGGAAATTGCAGGCCTTTAATCAGGTCAGGTCCTGCTTGCTATGTATCCTTGCTTGCTTGCTTTGTGTGAAAAATTGCAATACTAAATTATCATGTTGACGGTAACAGAATATTAGCGAACAAGTAGCTTCATATATGAGAGATCCAAGTAGGATGCTTAATCAGATGCAGCTAAGGAGATCAACCGTACACGTTTTTGGGACGGTAACAACAAGCAACTCATTATTCTACAGTATTCTGTGTCCTTTCTCCTAATACTACCAATGCTAATGCTTTTATTGCTATTTTGCATGGTGATGACAGGTTCTTACCGAAGCCGAGACCAAGGAGCAAGTAATTCTGTCTGTTTATGTTTCTTTCTTTCGATATGCCTCAGAAATTTTTATGTTATCTTTACTCTTAACAACTTCACTGTGGTTAGGAAGCACAAGCTGAAGGAGGAGATACTGAACTTCTGGAGGACTCTGAATTCTATCAGCAATTATTGAAGGAATTCTTTGAGACGATTGATCCAAATTCATCTGGTACGGATTCTCTCATATCACACACTCTTTGGGCTTAATTTTAAAATAAAATTGAATTACCATGAAAAAGAACTATATAAGAGGTGTGGATGTTGATAGTTGGGGTGAATGTGTGAACAGAGACGGTGTTTTATGCATTGAAAAAGATGCAAACGAAGAAGAGAAAGATAGTCGATCGGCGAGCCTCGAAGAGTCGTAAGATAAGGTGGGAGTTTGATCATTTTGGGTTGGCATTTTGATTGTTGGTATGATAATATTGATTCGATTCGATTTGAATACTTGTTGTAGATACAATATCCACGAAAAGATAGTGAACTTCATGGCTCCTATGCCTGTGGATCTTCACCAAGCCACTCCCAAACTAGTCAACAACATTTTTGGTTTGAAACAACACAAGTCGGCTACTACCACGGCTGTTTAGCGCATCTGTTCCGCCCTACATTTTTGTACTTTTTTCATTTTACTTTTTTATTCAGCTCCTTGGTTCTTTACACTACCATTACTAAGTTCATGAGTATGTTATAAACGTTTTCGTTCGAGTTAGAAAGTTTTGTTCACCTCTAATCTAATGCGTGGAAATAACAATATTATACATCTTTGTCTATTCCTTTATTTTCTCTGCGAACTTCGACATTTTTTAGATGTTTTTATCGGTGTTATTGTACTATAAAAATTGAAATATTTGAGTACAATATCGACATTCTTTAGTCAGTCTAGGTTTGACTAGGACATCAGCCAAGCCTTTGATACCATAAAAAAAAAAAACATAATTCAAATATGTTTTTATAAATGATATTTAAATACAATTTTGAATTGCATATTGTAAGAATTTTTCATTTGTAATTATATTTTATCAATGATGGTTAGAGTTTGTAGCATGTGTTAAACAAAAATTATCAGACATTAGGTAGATTTTTGGTATTATTGAGATAATTATTATAAAAAATCTATTCCACCGTCAATTATACTATTTGAATAGTCTAAAATTATCGTAGCTTCTCCACCTATTTCGAAGACTACTTCGATATCAATGTGTTCTAATGAAAAGGATCAAACCTTTTCCTAAACTAGAACGAGGAAAAAAACCGAAAGCGAGCTCTTGGTGTCATTCCATCAAATATTTGAAAAGGTCGTATTTAATGGTCGGCAAGGCAATAGATTTCACTTCTACAATTGCCTCTCTAGCCGTTGCAAACACTGAGCGAGAGAAGTAAGAAACACCCAAACAATATTGTTACATGAGGATGCAATTCGTCAACCTAGGGAAGACAAAATCATCTAGCCCCCAGTAGATTAGGAATGCGAAGGCCTTTCTCCTTCGAAAAGGAGACGTTTTTCAAATCATATCGTACTCTTTGAATATATCCAACTATAAATTATAACATACGGAAAGAAAATGTAACAAAACATAACAAAACATATAGTGAAAATGTAACTAAATATATAAATAATGAAGCAACCCATTCAAATCTTTCATGAATTACAAGAAATTTAACTTGCATGACCAGGAAAAGAAAGAAATATAAAAAGTGGAAAAACAAGATTGACAAATCAGCACCAGGAAGGATGGAAGTTTCCTAAATGAAGAAGAAATTAGTACTCAAGGAAGGTTATGAACATACACAAGTACTCGGTACACTCAGACAAGTACCCAATTATAATGATGATACAGAAAGTAATCAGCCTCTTCTTGAATCTTTAACCATCCGAAGTGCAGTCTGAGCCGAAGACTCGACTCGACTCGTGATCAAAGACTTTGAAGCACTTCAAAATCCAAGATTTCATGAATAGTATAAACAAAAACTCATTCATCTCGTGTTCTTGGACGAATACCCAAACCAGTTCTGATATTAGCTCCTACTTCCATCACGTCTTCAACCTGATACAACACAACATACCAAACCCACAAATTTGTATTCAAACACTTGACTTCAGCAAGAATTTCCAGATTACATTGCTTCTCCAAACATATTCTTTCTTACATAAATCAAGATCAAGCCCCTGATTTTGGGTGAGGAATGACAATAATGGCTTCATTTGGTTCATCCATAAGAGCAACAAGAAATCAGAACACTGCTTAAACACATTTTGATAGTGATTTACAAACGCAGTAAGAAAATTTCTACAAAGGCAATGAGCTGAGGCTGATCTGAAAATAATTTCTCTTCCACTACCCAACAACAGCAACCATTATTAGATTGGATGAAAACAATGCTCGTTACTGAAGTTCTTTTATAAGTTCAGTCTATCATGGCATCAATGCTCAAATCATGTAAAAAAAATGTCTAAATTCAATCAAGAACATACCTGAATTTCACAGCAACATCAAGCTAAGTGAGAAAATGCTCGAAATTAATAGCAAGATGATTAATATCAGCTGCAAAGAATCCAACACAGCCTAAAAATCTAAAACCTACAAAAATATTTTTCTTCTTAATCAATGGACGCGAATTCTGATTCGATCAATTGTTTCCAATTTCAGTGTTTCGATCAAACTGAGAGTTAAAAACTAAACAAATTCACCACATGCGACGAATAAAATTTGGCTTGAGAGTTAATTCTTCAGAGGACGACACGAGTTCAAAGCCAACTTAATCAGAGTTGCGCAATTAACCTCTAAACCAATCCAAATCAGGGGGAGGGAAGGAGAAGAAATGCAACTACTAGATGCAGAATAGGAAATAAGGTGAAGTAAACCTTGTGGATGCCGGCGGCCTTTAAGGAAGCGATGGCGGACGAGGCGGCAGCGCCGACGAAAAGCGAAGCAACGGCGAAGGCCTTAAAGGGCATGAGGCTAGAATCGCCAATAACTCCTCGCCGGAAAGAGGCGATACCCCAACCGAACTGCGTCGCGCCGGCCAAGGCCCACCACCAATGGGCGTTGCTACCACCGTCGCTCCCTCCGTTCTCCACCATCTCTCTTTCCCTGCTTTCGCCTTTCTCTTTTCCCCATTCTGTCGCCGTCGCCGTCAACGATTTAGAACCCGTGTAGACCATTGTAAATGGGCCTGAGCCTGGGCCTAAACTTTCTGATTGAGCCCAAATTCTTCTGATATAGCCCAAATTCTCGCTGCTATTTTCTGGTATTATTGAAATATAAGTTTAATCCCTCTCATAAACTTTAAATATTTCTTCAAATTTTTTATTTTTCATTTAATAGAGCCTTGAATTTTAAAAATAATACATATTTAATTGTTTTAAAATTTTAATTAATTTATTAGATATAAAATTGAATTTCAATTTTCAATTTTATGTCCAATTAACCTATAAATTTTTTAAAATTTAACATTCCAAAATTTACTATTCATTTAGTTAAAAAAAACATATTATATATATATATATAAATAAAAAGTTCATGTTAAATATTTTTTTAAATTCATAAATTAAATAGACATAAAGTTAAAATATAAACTTCTAATTTACTATTTTTATTAATTTTCATGTAATTTTCAGTAATATTTTATAAATTAATTTTTAAAGTTCTGCCAAACCTTTTATTTCCATTTTGTCTTCGTTTGGACAATTTTGGTATATTTTTTTTTTCTTAAAGCTTTAGAATCTCATGCTACCAAAAAAAGTCTCTGACTTTAAATTTTATAATAATTTTTTTCTTCAAAAGAAAAAAAAAAGCCATTAATACTTTAAAATTATATATTTTCGCCTTTTTCTTTTCTCTTTTTTTTTTCTTGGGTCAATTTTTTAAAATATGTAATAATCCTATAATTATTTGGGGGAAAAAAAGATAATTTAATAATTATTTTTCTCGTATATTCCATGAAAAATAATTTATTAAAAATAAATGAGATGAAATTGTGATTTTTTTTTATTAAATAAATAATAATGTAAAGATGATTTGGAGAAGGGGGAAGGCGCGTGGGGAAAGAGTATCCAATGATTGTTGACTGTCTGGAGAAGGAGAGACAAGTCAACACACACGTGTGCAATGATGGGACCATGTGTTGTCCCCTCCTGCACGTGACCCCCACTCCTCCTTCCCCACCTTCTCTCTCTCTCCTCTCCCCACCGGACTTTCAACTTTCCCCTCACGCGCCGCCCACTTTAATCTTCTCTTTCCAACGTGGTAAAAGTCAATTTTTTACCTTACAAAATTTTAAATCTATTTAAATTCTAAATTTTTATAAAAATTATTTATTTATATTTTAAATTTAAATAAATCATTTTTCCTTTTTGTATCTTAAATTCGTAAATATTTTAAAATTTTAAATGGTCAATTTTTTAAAAAAATTTAAAAATGGTTGATTTTTTTTTTAATATCTTTATTGATGAAATATTGAAGATATTATTGAATATCTGACTTCTAAGTTAAGACATGTGTCATTTATTTGGTAGGTTAATATTGACTTTTTGAGTCATAAATCACATGAGTATACTAATTGAGTTAAAAAAAAAAACCTTTTAAACCAACCCGAATTTTCGAGTTGGTTAGGTTGGTGACTCGGGTTGGTTAGGTTGGTGACTTGAGCAATTCAAATAAAGTTCACAACTTAACTCAACCTAACTCTCTATTTTCAAGTTGGGTTTGGTTGAGTTATTCGATTGGTCACCTACCTATCAACAATACATATTACAGGGCACGATACATCATTAACACTAGTACAAACGTTAAACATTCTTAATATTGTAAAAATTAAGGTACGATTGGATTATAGTCCTATTTTTTGGGTGGTCAGGTTGATTCGATAAAAAAAAAAAATGTCAACCAGCAAACTAAATTGGATCTTCGATTTTTCAAAATTCAACCCAACCCGATCATTATAGTTTATGTTGAATAATCTAAATTAATCAGGTCATCAAATCATATAAACATCCATACCCCTAACCCTAAAGTGTTAATCACTCTATCTCGTATTCATTAGCTTATAACACGTGAATTGGAAACGTGGACCAGTTGAAAGCACGAAAGTAGGTCAAATTGTATGGTTTTTATTTGTGATTGAAAAATTAAAAATAATTTTTTAAAAAAGGGATGGAAATAACATAAACTTAATGAAGCTGCAGTACAAGTTGCCATGAATTAAATTTGTAATTCCTGACCACTGACAATGACATATCCTTAGGGCTATAATTATTTGAAAAAGACAATTTCTGATACAAATTTTTAAATTTTTAAAATTTTAAATTGTTATAAGCTTTAATGGGAGACAGTCTATAGACCAAACAACTTAAATTTATATCCCTTTCAAAATTAAAATATAAAATACAAATTAACTTATATCTATAATTAAAAATTAAAATCATGTTTTACCTACAAATAAACTAATCCAACCCTACTTTTAACGTTTATAACCAATATTAATAATTCACTGTGACTTGTAAATATTTGATATTCTAGATTTATAAGATATTAATTATTAATGTAAAATTTAAATAAAAATGAGAGAAACGCTAAATTTAAGAATAATAATAATAATAATAAAAGTGCTTCTTATATAAATTTTAAAAATAAAGTATATATTTAATTATTTTATGATCTAATTTCTCCCCCATTTTTTTTTATTATTGTTGTTAATTTTATTTTCAAACCTGTTATAGTTAAAAAAAATAATAATAATAATAAATTAATTTATAGTTCTCTAGATGGCGACGTTTTTATTTATTTATTTATATTTTTAAGAAGGATTTCAAATTTTGGGAAAAAGAAAAAGAAAAAAAAAATAATAATAATAAAGGTGGGCCTAGGGGAATCGGTTTCCCAAGGTTTGATTGATGGGAAAGAGTAGCCTTCCATCGTAATCAAGATTCTAGAAGCTTTTCTTCAAATTGGTCCACACATTCTAGATAATAGACTTCTAAAATAACCCCTTTTTATTTATTTAATTTATTATTATCGAGTATTTTAAAAAATACTCGGTAGTAACCTCACTATTGGAATTAAAAATGCATAGACAAGCAATCATGGTGAGACCGTTTAAAAACATTTCATGGTCTTTAACTTAGTCTGAACAAAAATTGGATGTGTAGTACTTTGGACCCACTAACATGGTCGTATACATACCCTTGGAACTACCCTTCAGTTAGTGCACACTCACGTTATCGTAGTCATAGAAAGAAAGAAGGCTGCATAATATCATAACATATATAGATACCATAATGTATACGGTCATCATAGCAATAAAATATCGCGATGCACGTGACAATAAAAAATGTGTGAGATTTTTATAGCTTTAAATCATTATATAAGCTTATGATGTAGGTCGTACATTCGCTCTTGCATAAACATAACTTTCGTGAATGCATACATGGTGTAAAATATTTCGTAATCCTGAATTAATCTTGCTAACATATTGTGCATGACATAACATATAGAGATATTATGCATCATACGACATGGAAGTCACAACAAGATCCATAACTTAACGTCAAGATCTCCTAGCCTAACTTACAATACAACATAATGTGACATAAGTCATAGCATTACATAACATAATACGTGTCATACATTCATAAAATACGACACATGGAAGGTCACAGAGTACGTACCCTCTATACTTCATTCAATTCACCCAACAAAGTGAATAACACGATCACTAAACTGTGTCTTAAAATCTAAGTCAACTTAGGTAAGTCCACAACGCCATATTAGAATAGGTTGAGTTTCAACCATTTAATAATGAAACCTCTAATTTAACTTAAAATATTTTAAATTGACTAAACAGTAGTCGTAGCACATCAAGTGCCTTTGGAAAGGTCAACCGGTGCAATTATTTCATGCGTAAACTCATAAACATTAATTAAATGAGACATGTAACATGTGCAAAGTCATAAACATTTATGAATATATTAATCTTTGCTGAATTTATTCCTTAAAAAATGCATTAATTATGGGATATAAAAAAATAAAAAGAATTTGTGGGGTATTATTTAATTTGAATGATGAGTCACACCAATCCTTCATACTCTTTTTCATGACAATTACTGCCACAATCAATTTTCCCTCATATTTATTAAATTTTAATTTTTTTTAAAAAATATTTTGTTTACTTTTTTAACAAATAAAATAAAGTGTTTGTAAGTCATTGACTTTTTAAAGTATCTCTACCACTTTTGCTGAGTGGGAAAAAATAAAAAAAACATATAATTTATTAAAATAAATTATACCGATTATAGATAAAAGCAACTTGAATTGATAAAAAAAATAGAGTTCACTTGAATCAGGGTATACTCGTAGCCAGGTTGGGTGGGTTCGGTTGGCTTGTGACTAGAGCAACTTAAATAGAGTTCACAATCGAACCTAACTCACCCAACCTGAAAATAAAGGGTTATATTGAGTTTTGTCGGGTTGTTCTTTATAATTTAAATTAGATAGGTCAGATTCTCGGGGACGATCACTATCTTTTGACCATAAATCTATACGCCAATTAAAATTAAAAGAATATCGATTAATTAAAAAGTTATTCAAAATATTATATTCATTAATTTAATGAAAAATATATTTAATTATATTTATTAGACATAAACAAGAATGAAATTGGAGTCCAGAAGACAAATGTTGTGATTAAATATATATTTTATTAGAAGCCATCCTGTTTTTACAAACTCCACACGTGCTACCACGTCACGCGCGTGAGGTCCATCACGTGGGCCCTCCGTCATCTGAAAATCCTCTGGATATAACCAATTTGCCTCAATGCCTGTGGGCCCCATCTCCACGTGATTTTGAGTAGCACAATCATGAGCTGATAATTCATTGCGCGTGTTAATTACTCGAAGCGCGTGGCAAGTACTCGGTCAACGAGCGGGAAAGCCGCTTTTTCACCTTTTGTTTAAAACACAGTTAACCACGGTAAAACTTTTGTTTTGACTTAACCATGGTTAAAAGTAAAAACCCTAAGGAGAGCGATAAAAAAAAAAAGAAGAAAAAAAGAAAAGCCATTTTATCATGATTGAGCCAATAGGGTGTGTGTGTCATAAGTGATGATTAAATCTACACCCCTCGTGTCTCTCTCCCTCCCTCTACCTGTATATATAGTCCCATCCGCGCTGCAAACTAGCAGCAAAAGCTATGACATCTCTCTGCCGCACCGCCTGCTCATTTTCCCACCCATTTTCTTTTCTCTCTGCCGCACCGCCTGCTCATTTTCCCACCCATTTTCTTTTCTCTCTGCTTTCCCGGAATCCAAACACTAATTAATTACTACTACCACTACTCCTCCACTTCTCTCTCCTATATATTTTTCATCATTGCGTTTCCTTCTTTGTAGTGTGTTTTTGATTCTCTGTTCGTTCCAAAATGAGCGGGAGCGACGACGAGTTATGTCTCAGTTTGAGTTTAGGGTTTGGAGTTACGACTCAGCCGAGTTTCATCCACAGGCCTTCCAACTCCATGATTAATCACCTCCGTAGGAGCTCTTGGAAAGATGCGTTTCAAGTTTCTGGTAATTTCTTGATTTTGTGTTCTTCTCGTTTCATTGCGGTTTACTCTGGTTTTTTTTTGGAGTTTTTTCTGTTAGATCTGTGATTTTTGAAACATTATCGTTGTTTCTGATGGCGGATTTTGTTAATTTACGGTGTTCGTTTTTCGATTAAGTATCTGAATCGTTGTGTACTGTGTTATCATTTTGTTTGTTCAGATCGAAACGTCGATTCGAGGTCGTTTCTTAGGGGAATCGATGTGAATAGGCTGAGGACGGCGGTGGATGGCGAGGAAGAGAACGGCGTTTCATCTCCGAACAGTACGGTTTCTAGTATCAGCGGAAAGAGGAGCGAGAGAGAAGCCGTTGGAGATGAGGCGGAGGCCGAGAGAACCTCGTGCTCGCGAGGGAGCGACGATGAAGACGGCGGCGATGGTGACGGCGACGCCTCGAGAAAGAAGCTCAGGTTATCGAAGGAACAGTCGTTGGTTCTTGAGGAGACGTTCAAAGAGCACAACACGCTCAATCCAGTAAGTGGCAATCTGGTCATTTCATACTATTGTTCTCTTCACGTCGCGTTAATGAATAGTGGCAATTTCGGTAGTTATTTGGGTTTAAGAAGGGCGTTTTAGTCAATATTTGGTTAAAGACCTAACCTCCAGTTTAACGAAAGCGTTATTAAGTTAGTCAATATTTAATTAATTAATTAATTATTTATTTCTAAACGTCAGAAGCAAAAGCTGGCTCTTGCAAAACGGCTGAGTCTGAGACCAAGACAAGTGGAGGTGTGGTTTCAAAACAGAAGGGCAAGGTGAGTAAATTAATTCCGTATCCAGGGGTAGAATCGTAATATCCGAAGGAGTAGTTGCTTTCATAATTAATAAATGCTCTGCCACTGCATTTAAGTGTGAAGGTCAAAACTGTCATAGGAAGATTGTTGCATCCATCATCAATGATATTCTTTTTCTTCATTACAGATATGAGAATATCCCAAAAACTGCCATTGCCATTTGTTCAAGTGCTCCACGTGATCATTCTTTAATTTAAAACTTGTATAATATTTCATCATCCATTTTTGTCTGTTTTCTTTACCAAGTAAGGATTTGAATTTTTTATGGCGTTACGGGTAATGGTTAATGTGCAGGACCAAGTTGAAGCAAACAGAAGTGGATTGTGAGTACTTGAGGAGGTGCTGTGAGAATCTAACAGAGGAAAACAGAAGGCTACAGAAGGAGGTGCAAGAGTTGAGGGCACTCAAGCTTTCTCCGCAGCTCTATATGCACATGAACCCTCCTACCACTCTCACTATGTGCCCGCAGTGTGAGCGTGTGGCGGTTTCCTCGTTCTCGTCGACGTCAGCTGCTTCGACTCGCCATCCAGTAGCAGCTGGAATGCAGCAGCGACCCTCGATGCCCATTGCCCCGCAGGCGGTGTTGCCGATCCAACGTTGATGGTTTCTTGTGGGGGGTTTGGAGAATATTGGGTAGTTCTGTCCTTAACAAAACGTAGTTAGATTATGCAGAGTGGGGGAGAGGAATGGACAATGAAATGATAGATTTGGATGGTCAATTGAAGATTGAATGGAGAACCTTTTCTTCTTCTTCACAAAACAATACAAATTTTTAAAACAATGAGCAGTCAAACAGAGATGTAATTTATAATTTTTCATGTAACTGACAGTTAATAAGAAGATACTGTGAAACGAAAGGGATTATGAACACAACCACTACCACTGATGTTAGCTGTGTTCTTGGTCAGATGCTCCCTAAGATGAATATGGATGCGTACACTATGAAATTGATTATGACATTTATGTTTGTCATGATGATACGACGGCCACTATTCTTTTTGTGTGTCCGACAACAGCTCGTCAACAAAGTGCTAGTCCGACCAGCAAGGTTAAGGGGTGTGCGAGTGTAACGCCCGCTCATCGTCAACACGATTAACAGGAGTTACCATCATCCACGACAACATACTCTAACACCCAACCATAATCTCAAAATATTTTTAAAAAAAAACTTCCAGTAAAACATTTAAAATCGGTGCTATTTTAAACTTAAAACAACCGAAGTGAATTCTTGACAGCGAAAACATAAATATACAAAACAGACACAGACATGGATTCCCAGTAGTCTTCAGTCCGCTGGTCTCGTCCTCGGTTGGCCTGCACCATCTAAATCTGGAAAGAAAAGTTATAATAATTTTGATGAGTAATTAGATTACTCAGTAAGTAGCTAGCTTATCATTCAAGAGTTCATAACTAATCTTTCCAGATGTTTTTAGGTTTTATTCATCATTGACTCCTAGTTCTCTTACTAGGGTCATCTATTCGTTAATGAGGTATCTCAGCTACCTCCAGCTAGGTTACTGACTCTCTCTCGATATGCTTATCTAGAATTTTCGGACTCGTATGTAAGACTCGCTCTCGGTCAAATACGGTCCGTCTACTAATTGCTCTGGCGGCCTGTTTATCTCATATACCAACGGTCAGGAGTACTCATGCTCCCTGACTTAGCACACAGCGCGTTGGCCAGGAACTCCGCGGGAATTAGTAGACTATCATACTCAGTAAATAAGCCATAGCTCAACCACCAATAAGCATATCTAGAGTCATAACCTTTCCATTAACATGCATAACATACTCACAGTTACTGCATGCTTTCATACATGTATCATGATCAACACGTAGAACATTCTGACAATCGTTTATATCACGCTTACATCACAGGCAAGCAGTCACAATATACAATAAACACAAACTATCATCAAAGCTCATCATAACTTATTAAGCTCTTAATCAGGTAAACAACATACTCACATGTTGTAAAACAAGTTAAGAACTAGTTCAAAGGTCGATACGCTACTTACCTGGTTTCGAATCCCTTTCTCTCTTGATTGTACATTTAATAGGGTATTTCCACACAATTCCTTCCAATTAGACCTATATTTCACCATTTTCACGGTAAGTATAGGTCAATCTAGGTAGAACAGGTCAAAACAAATCGAACGAAACAAACCGGGAACCGAACTGATGCTTCACGCGCCTCACGCGCCTCTGTGTGTCTGTCCCACGCGCCAGGAGCACGCCCAGTCGCACGCCCAGTCGCGGCCCTCACGCGCCTGCGTGTAGTGCACGCGCTCCTTCTTCTTCCTTGCGTTTTTCTGAAATTTTCCCCTTTTCTGTTAATACCTACTATATCCCGAAGCCATATCCTCCTTCTACGGTTCGAATTTCATCCTGATTCCTTCTACAAATTTGTAGATCTCCTTATTACGTTTCTAACAAGCCCTATATCATAACTTATTATACAATACGAACCAAAATATCGAGATTTAAAGGTTCGGTGATATGGGTTTTTCGTTACCTTCGAATCACCGTCCGATTCAGCTCGTGGCCGTATCCCCTTCCCCAAATGATTCCTCAGCAACAACTCCTCTTTCTTTACCCTCGATTAATGTCCAATTTTAAGCAACCAAAACTCGAATTCTCAAAAATTTCCTCCTCTGTTTTCTGGGTTTTTCGCTAATCACCATTCTTTGTTTTTCTTCTTTTTTTAAAAACCTAATACAGCCCTAGAAGGGGCTCGCGTCTGATGCGATTGCATTATAAGGTCGCAATTGAACAGAAGTTTTTTTTATTTGGAATATTTTGATTACGTTTCCACATCCTCTATCTTCCTCTCTTTTCTTTCTTTTCCCTTCACACCTGTCCATTCTTCCTTTCTCCATGGCAGCAGCTTCAAGCTGCTGCTGTCTTCTTCTTCTTTTCTTCTTTTTCTTTTTTTTTTTTTTTTTTATTATTATTTTTATTATTATTATTATTATTTATTATTTATTTATTTATTTTTATTTTTATTTAATTAATTTATTAATTTATTAATTTATTTATTATTTTCGGGTTATTACAGCGAGCCTGCTTGGTGGGTCCACGTTTGCATGTGTGGGTCGTGTGTAGAGAAGTATTATACATCCAACTTAGCCGGACTAGAATGCCGCCTAAAGGAATGAAATGATGTTTTAAATGATAGGTCTCACCATGTTATATGTGTTCGTATTCCACGACATTAATAATGGGTCACTAACTCAGTATTTCTTAAAATACTAAAGCCATATATTAGTCTTACGTTTCAAGTAAAGGCAAGACACCATTGTACTTACCTTTCAAGTAAAGGCAAGACACCATTGTACGAATGACGGAGGCGATGCATGAAAACCATAGAAAGGTAGTTGCATTTCATCTTATTATATAGTCTTAGATTAGATTAAGGACAATGTTTTATTTTTAAAGTATAAGTTCATGACATCTTTTATGAACTATTTAAAAGGAATGTTTTCTGCATGAAAAGGTCACGTCATGCATATGGTAGTAGCTCTATTTCAATAAGAAAATAAGATCGTTACAATAATATACATGTCCATATAAATAATAATGTTTATAAACAATATACTATATGGTAAATATTTATATTATATAGTTTAACACATGCACCATATACATTTTACATAGTTTACCGTACATATTTATATCAAATTATATAAATATAAACTATCAATTTGAAAAGAAAAAAAAAATAAATACAAAATACAAAATGCATGTAAGTTTGCAACCAACTATTTAGGATTTTATACGGTTTTATATGATCTGAGTTAGGTTGGGTTGACTAATTTTTTTGACCCAAACAAAAGTTCGGATTGGTTGGATTGGTAACTTTCAATCCAACCCAAATTTTTTTACAACCGAACCCAACACAACCTTTTATTTTCAAGTTGGGTTGTTGAGTCGTTAATTTTTTAAATTTTTTTTAAAAAATTTTATTTATCCACCGAAAGGATATTAAAGGTTCACAAACAAACATAAATCAATCGTAAATTGTTACCTCCTAACATACTTCAATATTATCATAGAACAACTAAATACCGGCACTTCTTGAGAATCAGTTAGAAAATATAAGAATAAATTATGAAATTTAAAAACCATACAAATGATTAATTTAAAAAACTATAACTAATAAAAATAAATAAAAATAAAAAATAATGTAGAATTTTACTTATATTAAAATAAATTTACTTATATTGGAGGCTCCTAAATTATCATAAAATTAAAAAAAAAAATGTGTAAATTGTGATATAATAATATTGCAATAAATACATTCAATTTTAGAATTACTTAAGTCTTGGTTTTAACAAAATTTCAAATCTATTAACACTCATTATTTATTTACGGCTATTTTTTAATTTATTAATAAGAGTGTATTTTAAAATAATATAAAAGGTATAAATAATTATTTTTTAATTTATTAAATAATCTGTTAAAAAATAGTATGAAAGATTGAGGTGGAGAAATATAAAATATATAAAAAAACTAAATAAAATAAATTAAAATAAATAAAAAATAATAAAGTAATAAAAAAAATAAACAAAATAATAAGAGAAGAACGTAAACAAAATAATAATGTATGAAATATTGAGGTGGAGAAATATAAAATATATAAAGGAAACTAAATAAAATAATATAAAATAAATTAAAAATAATAAAATAACCAAAATAATAAAGAGAAAACCTAAACAAAATAATAATGGTCAGTTGTAGTAAGCCCACGTTGCCATTCTAACACACTTATGAATACGCTAAATTTCTTAATGTATTTTATAACATTTTTTCGGTTCAAGTCAATTTGAGGTTTTTGTCCTGTAACCTCGAAACCGAATCGAGCCAATTCAGATTCAAGAAAATAATTCAACCCAACTTGAAATACTAGTTCAATCCAACCCAACCCAACCCAGTCCTTGTAATTCGAGTTGGGTTGGTCTGAATTATCGGATTAGATGTAAATTTCTACAAGTAATACATATAAAAAATAGTGCTCGAGAATGATATAGACTTTTGAAAACCGACGGAAACTCAAGGAAAGAAAATAGAGAATTTAAAATATAATCAATGGAACAAAATTTTATAATATTTAAAAACTTGAAATTTCATTAAATCATTAGGTTTTTTTTTTCTCTCCATGGCTACAGTAACTATCAATTCTTTTAAGTATTTCTTAGCCAACATATCTTCAAAATCAATCTCATTCAAATGTGGTATACATTAATAAATGTACATTTCCTTTTGTAATGACTCACTTTTCGTGGTGCACGAGCCAACCTTCACTAACTAACGTGGAATATTGGAAAGACACAGTAAATTTAATACTTTTAAATCGTGCAGGAATATAATTTAAATTAATTCAATCATAAGATCAAACTTACAAAATAGGACGGAGACACAATATAAGCAAATACAAGTCGTAAAGTTTGAAAAAGCCTAGATACATATTTATCTCGACTCCTATAACTCTACAGCCCTTGCATCGGACTACACTGTCTATCCTTCATATGAAAAGAATAAGGTAGCACAAATGAGTATGTAGGTTCTTACTTCCTTCTCAAATCTTACATTCATTTAGTTTGTTACGTCGTTTAGGTATCTTATTCATACTTAGTCACTGGTGCTCCTAGGCTATTTTCTAGGTTATCTTGAGTCACCTAAGATGGTGCGGAAGCCATCTGGTTCTCTTAGCCTAGTCCTATCTAGGCCATCGGTGTTGAACACAACTCTTTTGTGGGAAACACTCACACATTTATTA